CTTGCCCCACTTTCTATCTCTAGGCTACTATTTTTCCATCACAGAAACGATGAGCCCTTTCTGCTCTGACACTCTGGGATCGTGATAGCCAACATGTCTTATTTTAGCTCGGTGTCTGGCTCGAATGCTGTGATTTGAGTCTGCATGGAGGCTGCACCCTGCTCTCCCTGGAAAGGTCTCCTCAGGTTAGGATAAAGGCTTGGGGAAGGTTTAGCCTTAAGAGAGCTGGGGGAGGAGCAGGGACATCCTTCTGCAACACAGTGAACTGTAAAGATGGTACCCACACGTAGGCTATGGGTAGCAGGGTGAGGGGAAACACTCCATAGGTTTCATTAATAGCACACACACACACACACACACACACACACACACACACACGTGTATAAATATACACACATAGCCGGGTGTTGATGGCACACACTTGGGAGGCAGGTGGATCTCTGTGAGTTCGAGACCAGCCTGGTCTACAAGAGTTAGTTCCAAGACAGCCTCCAAAGCCACAGGGAAACCCTGTCTCCGAAAAAAAAAAAAAAACAAGACAAAACAAAACAAAAAGTCCAGATAAATAGACACACACACACACACACACACACACACACACAATCAGCTCAAGGGGCTAGGGAGACAGCTCAGTGGAGAAGAGGGCTGGGTGTTCAAGCATGCATGCATAAGTTCAAATCTCCAGCACCCATGTCAAAGCAGGACATGGCTACCCAGAACTGTAGTACCCATGTCTGTAACCCTAGCATTGGGGAGTGGGGGGCAGAGAAAAGCAGATCCTCTGACCTCACTGGAATCTGTCTAAATTAAATGGCGAGCTTTCCAGGCAGTAACATGCCCTTTATCAAGGCAATAAGACAGAGTGACCAAAGTACACCCAACATCCTGCTCTGGCCTCTGCTTGTACACGCACACGTGCACACATACAATTACCTCACATGCACCACACACACACACACACACACACACACACACACACACACACACACGAATGTCAGTCAACTGGAAGGACCTGGTTTGAGTTAAATTAAGAAAGGCTGAATTAATTTGGATTGAATTGGAGAAGTAAGTCAGAATGAATCGGGGTTGACTGGGTGGAATTGATGGGATGAAGTATATTGGAGCTCCAGTGAGCTGATCTGGATTGAACTGGACTGGGCAGAGCTGGAAAGGCAAGACTCCCCCAAAGAACAGCGCTTGGATCTCTGGACTCTGGCATCCCCTGGAAGCAGTTTTCGATGCTGACTTGTGCTTGTGGATCTTAGAGCCCTCCCGTCATCAGGTGACTGCTGACAGCTCCCCACAGAGTTCTTAGAGGATGGAGTGTGAGATCACGCACGCTAAAGATGAAGAGCCTTGCACCTCAGAAGACAGAGGGAGGTGCGGATGAAATCCACACTCTAGCTAATGGTATGCGCTGTAAAGTGTTGGTGGTGAAGGACACCAGAAATACACCTTGAAATGCTTTAAAAAAAAAAAAAATACCGAGATAGGTGGTGGATGATTAGATGCTTAGGTAAAGGGTGTGGATATAGCTTAGACGGCACAGGGCCTGCCTAGGCTCACGAGAGGCTGGGTTTGATCCCTAGCACCATATAAACTGGGTATGAGGGCGCGTGCCTGGACTTCCAGTGCTGGAGGAAGGTGGAGGCAAGACTCGGAAGTTCAAGGTCATCCTCACCTACAAAGCGAACTTGAAGGCAGCCTGAGCTATGACACTCTGTTTCCAAGAATGGAAAAGGAAGAAAAAAGAGAGAGAAGGGGAAAGGGGGAGAGGCTAGGGAGGAAAATGGAAGGGGATGGGTGGGGCGAGAAGGAAGGGAAACAGAGACAGAGGTACCGATAAAGGAAAAATGTCAACCCAGTAAACAGATCATCAGCTGACTGGAATTGGCGGGCCGCGTGGCTCTCTATGAACTCTTGTCTGTTTGTTGGTGGGGAGGGGATTAAAATAATAAAATGCTGCACACCCAAAATAGAGGGCTCTGTAAACTGTTAATTGCTAAAATAGCAGTGCTGGTTAAAAATACAACTTCTGGAGGCGAATGTGAGTTTGATGCTCAGCTCTGCCCCTCACTCTTTTGGCCCCGGGGCAAACGACCCCATCCCTCTGAGAGGTTCCTTCCGTATCTGTACAATGGGGTTATTAATGGCCCTCACCTCATGGGTTTCTGTAAAAACAGAGCCCCGGCACCTAATTAAGCATGTACCTCCGGGTTAGCCCACTAAACAACACGGTTCATGGGCACTGTGCTGTATCTGCTTCACGCCGAGGTCCTTCAAGCCTCCTAAGCCACACACCAAACAAACCACTCAGTGGAAGAAAGTCGCTCTCCAGCTCCTGGGAGTCGAAACCATCTCTCACCCTCCTCGCCCCTCCCCCAGCCCACAGTTCCTTGGACTCACCCGACAAAATGAAAAAGATGCCAGAAACGAAGGCCAGAATGGTCCTCTGAGGTCGGATGTGGCCGATGTTGCTGATGACGAAGGCGGTGAACACGAGGAAGAGACTGACCATGGGGAAGGGAGTGGCCGTGCGCACCGTCTCTGAGGGAGGTGGACAAGGAGAAGCGGGGCTGAGGGACAAGTCCCCAGTGAGACACCTCCCAGGTCCTTCCCTTTCCTTCCCTTTCGTTTCTCCTGTTTCCCACCTGCTCCGCCCCTTCGTTAGCTACAACCGCTGCTGACTCCGCCCTCAACCAGACCACACCCTTCGTCCGAGCCCACCCCTCTCCTGCTGACACCTCTCCATCCCAGCCAAGACCCCGACCTCTCCCTCTCCACCACACCCAAGAAAGACATTTCTGTTTGACTCCTACCCTTACACTTCTCTTTCTTCTTCCATCCAATCTGCCCAACCCCTTCCCTACCTAACCCAGCCCTTTCTCCCAAAACCCTCTTGCTGCCCTGCTCCCCCTCACTCAGAATATTCTCCGTGTTCTCCGTCACCAAGTTGATCTCTGGTTCAAGGAAGTACTCACAAAACACACAGCGACCCTTCTCCCGACCTGCGTGGGACGAAGATAAGAAAGAGTAGATGCAAGAGAGGCTCCAGGGGCTCAAGCAGAGCTGTCAGGGGCAGAACAAGACCCGGCATGGAGATGGGAAATTTCACCCAACATTTACAATCTACACCGCTCTTAGGGCTGAAAAAAAAAAATGGCCTGAGACAGCTGAGCCTGGGGGTACAGGACTGCACTTATACCTACTGGGGAGTCTGAGGCAGGAGAATCGTACCTTCAAGGCCAGCTGGGCTGCATAATGAGATTAAATCCAGCCTGGGCAATTTAATAAAACCCTGTCTCAAAACAGGACGTAAAGCGAAAGCTAGGGATGTGTCTTCGTGGTAGAGCCCTTGCCAAGTGTGCATGAGGCTTTGGGTTCCATCCCAAGTACTGAAAAATGAGTAAGTACGATGGGACGCCATGGAGTGTTGGGAAATCTTGTTTGCTTTGGAGATTGGCAGGACTGGATTTTAACGTTCTAAATGAGAAGGGAGCTGTGGACAGGGACTCCTGGATTCCAAGATCCTGAGAGCTGGGGTTTCTAAAGGGAAATAGTCTTAATGTTCAGCTAGAAGGAAGGCATAGCGTCTTCCTCGCTCCCCATAAAACACTGGAACTGCGCCAGGCATTGGTGGCGCACGCCTTTAATCCCAGCACTCGGGAGGCAGAGGCAGGGGGATCTCTGTGAGTTCTAAGCCAGCCTAGTCCCCAAAGCGAGTGCCAGGATAGGCTCCAAAGCTACACAGAGAAACCCTGTCTCGAAAAAAAAACAAAAACAAAACAAAACAAAACAAAAAACACTGGAACTGTCCAAGGAGCAAGTTCTGAATCTAAACCGCTGCCTGGCTTCGTTGTGTTTTTGTTTTGTTTGTTTTCTTTCCGTTTTTGAGACAGACTCGTGTCTCTCGGGTTGGCTTTGAACTCCCTCCATGGCAGCGGATCACCTTGATTCTCTTGCCTTTGATCTCCCAGGTGCCGAGATTACAGACGCAAACCCTTACACATAATTTATGAAGTTCCAGGGGTCGATCCCAGGACTTTCCCGTGTACTGAGCAAGCATTCGACTGATTGCGCTACCTATATAGCTCTAGCCCTAGAATTCTGACTTTTTTTTTAATTGTCACTTTAAAAAATTATATTACTGATTTTTAGGGGAGACGGTTTGAGCGTGAAAGGGCAAGCGCGGAAGTCAGAGGACAACATTCAGGATCAGATTTTCTCCTTCCACCATGTGGGCCTGGGGGTGAAACTCGGGTCATCGGAATTCTGCCAAGCACCCTATCCGCTGAAGCATCTCCCTGGCCCTAGGCTGCTGACTTCTATCAGAGTTCTTGAGAACCAGGAGGAAGGTTAGAGACATGGATTTTGAGCATCTGATCGTCAATAGCTGGGGAATAAAGCTAGGCATGAGGGTTCTGTGCTGAAATTTAACTCCCAGGAGAGAAATAAAATCAAGTTCCGGATTCGCAGAGTCTAAGATATGTGACTATAGATAAAGACTTTGGGGTGACTGAGGGCAGGTGAGGGGGGCGGGCACCTGCAAAGAAGCAGACTCTCCAGAGGCCAGCGTGCAGTGCCATCTTGACCTCGGTGGTCTGGTTCTGCGGCAAAACAGTCCCCTCCTCCATGTACAGCCAGTAGTCCGTGCTGACCGCGATGCCCACGAGGAGCAGGCCGCAGGCAC